TCCTATATTTGCAATTTTTATATTGTATGCATAAACATAAGTAAACTAATAAGTGTTTCTAGAAGTTGTGCCAGTTCAGTGTTTTTATACTCATTTTCATAAACAAAATTTTTCCACGATGATGGAAAATAATGGCTTTTCTATAAGAGCTTCCGAAATTGTTCCCAAATTTGCAAAAATTCGCAAACTATAGCTAATATTAAAAAAAGATTAGAATATTTGGAACCTGCGACCTAAATTCACTCCAACAATATTAATGCTGTCCTTTACATCTTTTGATTCATTATCTAATAATATGCACCAAAATTTTTTGCTGAACCCAGAATTTTTAACAAGAACTGGTCTTATTCGACAAGTGTGCTGTGGGTCACTTGACGGTCGATGCGCGAGCTCTTACAATAAAAATAAAATACTAATATTTTGCAGGCTTGTTGTTGACTTCATGATACAATATATTTTCACTATTACCAAGGCATTTCAGAAAAATAATATTTTCGATCCGCCCTTATGTATATTCATAACTTACGAAATTACAAACGCTGCGTGTTTCGTATGTGAACTAAAATATACAAATCTACTGTTTTGCTAGAAGTTTTTAATGAATTCATGCAGCCCTTTAATCCATACATACATATGTATGTAAATAACTCCCCTTTAGCTTCATTTGTGGCGCGCCTAATTCTCATAATTTACACATTCGTACACAATAACAACACCAAACAATGTAAGACAAATAAAATCCAATGCTTTATATTATTTTCGTTTCTCATGCAAAGCTAAATCAAACCAAAGTTTGAGGTTCACTTCACTAGCCAACAGAAAGCTAAAGGCATACAGACCGGCTGGCTAGCTAACTGGCAGCGCATGTAAATATGTAAGTCAATTACTAACAAATAAAGTATGTAACGGCAGATTCCAAATCGGACTCGAGCTCGGAATGGGACTCGAACTTGGGCTGAGACAGACTGAAATGATAAAAAGAGGTGAAGTGGATTTTACTGTTGGAATTGTTGATGGATGTGAATTCCTGCTGCGTTATTGTTATTGCTCGCCCTAGTCGCTTTGTTGTTGACCGTTGGTATGCAAATTTAATTTTATTGTTTTACGTATGACTGCGTCAAGAGCGACTCTGCGGGCGGAGAGGTTTATCGAGCGGTCAAGGAAATTTAATAAACTCCGGTGAATTTCATGTTGGCTTGATTTCAGTTCACCTGTTTTTCGTTTTGGCCTTTTGTGGCCCAGATTGTTGTGGCCACATACTCGTACACTCAACAAATAAAGTGTAGTCCAGCTAGCAAGTTATTTACAGTTCACTTTTTTGCCAGAGTATTGCCAAGTTCTTATTTGATTTTCACTTGCAAACTTTCAGGCGATAATTGAAAAGTAAGTAATTAAAGACAAATAAAAGAAGTATTTTAGGCATTGAATGTTGATACAGTAATTGATGTATAGGAAAAGAAGTAATTAAGTAAAATGACTGCCCACTCGCTCAATTAATTAAAGCACTTTAAAGTCGCTTGGTTTGCGACTTGACATATTATTCCGACTGTGTGTGCTGTTGCATGTCCTTTTTCTACTACAATTTTTTCCGTGTTGTTAGGTTTTATTATATTGCAGCAACCTTCCATTAGCAGGTCCCACTTCCACTTCATTTTATACTTAAAATAATAAAACTAATCTTGCCAATCCCTTCGTTTTCCGCTTTTCTTGCAATTATTTTCAAAAGTGTTGTGCCAGGAGAGTGAGGAATGGTGTGTGAAGGGGCAACATTGTAATAGCACTCACACAATTAAGCGCATTAACGCTTTTGTTATTCTTTCGCACTTTTGTTACGCTCACTTGTCGAAGCAAAAGGCAAAACTTTTCCTATAAACACGAAAATTCGTTACACATTTTCACCTGGTGGCTTGTTAAAGACCGCTGGCCTCTGGCCACAACAGCACGAATATTCTCATCTCTGTTTCTGCTTCTTTAGCATCTATTTGTTCATCAGTGGACCTAAGGGCAGTAGAGTAGGACTTTACAGAATTTGCTAAGCTTCGTTACGGTTAGTTGCAGCCTCAACTTCCTGCGCCGTTGCCATACTCGCTGCTATTCATTTGGATTCGGTCGCTTCGACCAAACGAGCTCAGTTTTTCCCCCACTCTGCTACTCTGCATCCAAATCAACTGAATGGCCGCTTGGGTAAGTCCATTTTGTTGGATTTTTTCTAACGCTCACTTATTTTCTCGTTTGCAGCTTTTTATCGTCGTGTATCAACTTGTTTCTGTGGTTGCTTTTCCTGTTGGCGTTCACGCTGCTGCTGTTGGCTAAATAAAATTCGTTAGACGAATTTAAATTGTTTTCAAATAAACAACTCGAACTTCTTGCCGCAGGCCGCACGCGCCTCGTTCTGACTCGTTTCGCTGACGCCAGCTTGGCTGAATGGCAGGAATGGCAGGATGGCGTGCATGCTGACTGTTAGCGCTTTTCTACACCCTTGCTTGCATCGTTTTTTCGACATATTTTTTATGGCTCGTCTGGTTTTCTTCGATATTATTCAGAGCAATGAATTGTATGTAAGTACATAAGTACGCTCGTCCACTATTGTGCTGGTGAAGTATTCCCCATTAAGCACAAGTTCATCTTGTTCGTTGTCTTTTCGAGCACTCACTACATCCATGTATCTACGTTCGGCAGCTTCACATTGATCACCGTATGCTAAAGCTGCTTGCCACTATTCCCAATCGGCTTGCGTGTATTCTCAGGATGTTTATTTATTTACTAGTACAGTATTTTCAGATATATTTACCTCAACATCTCTAACAATCAATTCGATTTTGCATTTATTTCACAGCCATCCTGTTTGAACTGTTTCGCCGCTGAGCTGGCCGTTCATGTCCAATGGGAGTTCATCACTTGCTACTACATACGAACATCCGTTTTCCATTCACTTCCTCACAATGCTGTTTTTATCTGGTAGTTTGATGCTCATCTGTGCTGCCACTAAAATTTGTAGTTTTCATGCAGTTTTACTATCAATTCAAACTTTGTGTGCCAAATGCTGTAGTGAATACAATTTATGGATTTTTTTTGGATGCATGTGACTTTCGTGTGCTCAAGTGGTTATTTATATTAATTTTACAGCACCGTTTGTTTAAAGAGTCAACCAACCTTGTTTACTGTTAGATCGTCCCGAATTCATTGCAATGCACTAACTTTAGCAAAATAATAGTCTTTGTGGATAGTAAAAGTATAAAACTTGGACAGTTAAATCTAAGTATATACCCAGCAAACATAGTCTCTAACGTTAGAGAAATTTGGATTTCTACATTAGATAGCTAGGGCAGTTCTCTAATCGTTATCGAGCCGATGACGTAGTTAGAGAACTACATTCGACTTCGATTCGAGAACAATTTGAGAAACATCGCAAATTCAAATAAATGTAAATAAGCAATATTCCAAATGAATGAATCGTAAATTATTTTTAAGTTAAAATAATTCATTATTATCTTATCTTAATACATTTCAAACAAATTTTATAAATAAAGCGTTTTATTTAATAAAATAAAACAGCAGTTTGAAATTCACATTCGAATCCCATTAGATATCAACATTAGAATTCGATTGGAGAATTAATATTTTCTCGAGTCGAGAACTATGTCCTATTTTTGTTGAGATCGCTATGAATCTCGATAGTTTTTCGAGCTGTTCACTAACGTTTGAGATTGGAGAATGTGACTAGTTCTCCAATCATTCTCTAATCGATAACTAACCTCAATGTTTGCTGGGTAGGTAGAGGTTGTGGTAGTGGAATGACCGCATCCCTCACGTAAAGAACTTGCGTTGAAACACAAAGATTTTAAAATTTTAATATAGCAAATATCTCGAAAAAGTATCAAAAAAAAAATTAACTCGATTTTCGGAATCACCGAGCAATTCTACAGAGAAATTGGATAGTGGAATCAATTGCACATTTTTGCTGTAAACCAGTGTAATTGGCCAGGAAAGATTAATTTAGCCCGCGCAATTGATTCAATTGTACAAATTTTTAACATCCATTTTTTCTGGTACTAGGGAGTGCCTTAAATTTTATAAACGAGAAGATATATCAAATTAAAAGTTATTAGATGTTCATATATTATTTTTCAATAAGACTACAAGTTGTCGAGATATTAAGATATAAATATTTTAGTTAATTCCATTATGTCATGAATTTTATTTAAACAAAAATGACGATTTTTGGCGATTTTTTTCAGAAATTGCGCTTTTTTTTAAACAATCTGGACACTCTGCTTACAACCAAAAAAGGTGTCAAGAATCAGTCGTGACTCTAAGAAAAAGGGATGAAATTGGCATGTTTATACTCGTATATCTCGACAAAAAAAACACACATGGTAACCATAGCAACAACGTGGTGGTGTTTGAATCAAATGCTGCCATAGAATTTTTTTCCTGAGCACTTGGCGAATTTTTCCCCATATGTATGTATGTATGTAGTTCTTGTTCGTTTGCATATATTTTTATCCTCTATTAATGAGTATTCTTATGATACTCATCAACTATGTAAGTTCAGATGGCTTTGAATTTTTCTATTTGTTTTGCATTTAAAAGCATTCCATCCTATAAACCAGTTCTGGATTAATTTGCTTTGAAACATAGAAATGTAAACTCGACCTCTGAAAACTCGTATGACAAGCGCGAAACATGATTTAAAAAATATTTTTAAAAACATTGCAAATAAACAAGCCTTAAATAAAAAAAAAAATATTCTTCAAAACATGATGCACACAAATTGAAAAACAAAATAATGAAACAAAGCAAAAATGAGAGATTTACCTAAAAACATTTAAAAGTTATAAAAAGGCAGTCAGTCAAAATAAGGTAGTAGTAAAAAATAGTAAACAAAACGCACAGAAACATAAAAAATATGCATTAAATAGATGACATTCATTATCCGATTTTTAGATTTGGTTACTACTTATGTATAATAAAAATTAATAATATTTGTGCAGACATACCAAAGAGGGTAAATAGAGCATCAGGCGTGACCATCTACAGAAAAAAGAGAAAATAGAGTTTCAGTTAGCGAGAGTTTTTGTAAATCATAAAAAAACTAAAAATAGAGTTTCTAAATGTTTTGTCAGGTTTCTTGAAATTTACTAGTTAAAAAAATATATGTACATACATATATGCGATTGTTCAAATACAGCACAAAAGACAATAAGGCGTTAATACATATACATACATATATGTTAACTAATAAATTTTTTACTAACGGAATTCTGAAAATGGGGATTTAGGGTAAATAATTTTTTTCTACGGTAAATATATAAGCAAAACCTTGGCTAATCTAATTAATTTAAAATTTTTTTCAAGGAATAGTTTTTTGAGCTATTTAAATAAGTAAATAAAAAAGGGTGTGTTAAAACTTAGGGCCAGAAGTTTGCGAAAAATACGCTTATGCTGAAGGTCTTGGCGTTGACAAGTAGCAGACAGGCAACTACAATTTAATCTTGACTTTCTTATTCAAACCTCTAAAACTGGATATTATTAAAAGTAAATGAAAAATCCAGACCTTAGCTGGAAAGATGACTTTCGTTTGGATTTCAAAAGTCTTGGGAAATAAGTTTGAGAATATCTTCTGCGAAGACAGCGGAGGCATAAAAATTATTGAATAACCAAAATTTTTACTTTTGCGAATAATGGCAAAGCATACCGAAATTTTGTTCACGCTTCGTTTAATCTGTGAAAAAAGCCACAAAACTTATGACAAAAGCAATTTTTTGGACTCCCGCGGGTGCTCAAAACTGCCCATTTTGTGTATCTTTTGTCAGTTCTCGGGCTGTTGAGAGCCACTTTGGGAGTGTAATTTGTGTTTCCCACTAGCTCTAGAAAAATAGTACGCGCGAGTTTGGGAAAATTGCGGGGAGAAGAGGAAGAATGAAAGCAAACTGCTTTTATCTAATAGATAAATTCATACATATTTAGATGTCTTTCTTTGATTGATGTATGAAAAAGTAGTTTGACGTTGAGTTTCGGGTACGAAAATATGTTTTTTTTTGCGTGCCGTGATTTTAGGTAGTTTCTAGTCTTTTGTGAGGGCATTTCGAACTTTCGCTCCTTAAGTCTAGTTCGTGGTGTGCTCTAAGTTTATTCCGACTATACATATTTAGGTATATGCGTAAATATAGCATAATAATTCTTAACCTTGCTGTGAGAGAAATTGAAATGACATCTACATATTAATTTTTTAATATTTTTATCTCATATCCTTTCTTTTGTCTTTAGTACTTTTTCGTTTGTATTTCTGTATAAATCGCGGATGAGATGAATAACTTAGATTCAGTAATAGAAAACAGATATGTACATAGTATGTACATACTATATATACTAGTATGTACATATAAAATCACGAAAAAACATTAAAAAAGAAATTGTTTGCTTGTTTCCTAGCGGAAAAGTTGGAAATGGAAAGTCAATAGCGAAATATTGGTTAGCAAATGATAATATGTGATATTTGTTAAGTAATACAAAAAATTAACAAAAATGGAAAATTTAGAAAGTAGTTCGAAATTTCATGAGAAATGCAGCGTGAAAACTTTACTAATTTTTTGAGAACAATGAACGAACAAAACTATTAATTGTAACAATCCAAAATAAACAAACAGAAATTATGGGAAACTAATAAAAAATAAAAAAAACGAGTTAGTATGCGACCACCCCTAAGGTACCACCTTTCCTTTAAAATAAGAATTATAGAAATCGGCTAAAGTGGTCCAAAGTTATGCGGTAACATACATAAAAAAAGAAAAAAATAAATAAATAATCCGACGAATTGATAACCTTCAACTTTTTTTGAAGTCCGTTAATAAAATGATATATGCACATATGTATGTATGTATGTATGTATGTATGTGCATGGCTAGCGCTGTCATCATTAAGGCAGCCGGTAAGCAATACGTTGTAATTTATGACAGGAAAAATTCACTAATTGAAAGGCTGCTTTAAAAAAGATTTAAAAAAACTCTGAGCATTATATAAGAGGATTTAATGACGAATTTGGGCATTTAAAAATATTAGTTTCATTACACTAATACTAAGTCTTTCCGGCAAGTTCTGCAAATCGTACAATTTCAAATCGGTGCGATTTGCAAAGTATTTTTGTATATTTGTAATCAAGGTATAAAATGTTTCAAATTGAAACGGCTAGAAACACATCATTTACGTTGTATCCATCGATTAAGTGCTAAATTCTTCCCTGATATAAATCCGTCCAATAGATTTTGTAAATCCCACCGATTTGAAATAGTACGATTTGCAGAACATACCTGATTAAGTTAATTTCCGGGTATGGTACAAAATGGTTCATCGACATGCTCCTATGATTATGAATATTTGAGAAATATTAATGATAACGAACCCTTTAAATAATTTCTGAGTGCTCAGAATTTAGGAGTTCAATATACGTCTTTCTTTTGTTACAAATATGATTTTGAAATCAGTCAACCACACTGACTCATTTCGGACTCTTTTGGTGTCATAAATTCTGAGCTTAACAAAAGAAACAAAGTTCAGGTAGAATTAAAAGTTAACTAATTGTCAGAATTATAAAGAATATTTGTTTTTAAGACTCAGAAAAGCATCATATTCCAGACTCTATTATGACTCCTAACTTGGACTCTTATAAACGTGCCATTCTAAGAGGCGAAATATGCTCTTTTTAGACTCCTTTTGAGCTCATAAAGAGGGTTAGAACTCAGAATTCTCATATTTTTTCTGACTTTAAAAGGAGTTCGAATGTTTATGGGGATGTTATAAAATATACATACATACATATGTATATATGATAAGTATTCATTTCAGAAAAAAGAAAACAAAAAATACAGTGAAGTAAAAGCTGGATATACTTGAAAATTAAATATAAGTAATTAAATAACATAAACATATTTTAATATATGCAAAATTAATGTCAGCATGAATCCTTTACGAACAGCGCTCATTCGCTATCCAATAACTCAAAGCGTGTCGGACAAAAATACGTTAATACTGCCCAGCGCCTGTATTGGGGTTTGCGGCAGAAGAGCGATAAAGCAGAAAACGATTTGAAGAAATCAGAGCGCGAAAGGCGCATTTGCACTGCTTATTTCATATTGTAAAACCGGATAAATCATGTGTACATAAATCTATGCGATAATATGAAAAATTATTGATGTTGACACAACGTACGCAACTTACCTCTTCGTTTAAATTGGACACAAGCAGCACGTTGGAGAAGCCGCGCAGAGCAGGCGCTGCTGTTTGTAGAGCACCACTGTTGGCCAGCGCAAAGGCGCCTAAATTCGGTATGGCGCTGTTATAGCCACCGGCGAGTGGCGTGCCTATGCCTAGTGCGAATGGCGGCAACACTCCTGGAGCACCGAGTCCATTCACTGCAAAGTAGTAATTTTGATTTTTAACTTTTTTAGGAAAACAAATTGAAATCGGAATTCCTGGCGAGGGGTGGGAAGGGACGAAATATTGGGGATGTGAGAAGGGGTACGAGAATGTGTTATGATCAAATAAATGTGTTTATTTTTTACCAAAAGCTTGCACTTCGCGGCAATCCGATTAAAATTTTATTCAAGCAATTCTAATCTTATGTTTTTTATAGGAGGTATAAAGGAGTTCAAAAGCCTATCGATAAACTATAACTTCCAAATTCAATAGATTTAATAGGCGCAATCTACAGGTCGGATTAAAATTGACCAGCAGATAAAATTTGGAATGCTGTCATCAAGGAAACTTCAATGTCTCGCGTCTCGAAGTTCCGAGTTCTGCTGTTCATCCATGTTACCACTGTCTATTTCACCTAGCTCTGGGAGTAGTGGGCTGGTTTGGTTTTTGGGGTAATGTAATAGTTCATAACTGAGTTATAACTGTTGCATTATTCTGAGATAAAGAGAGACTTAAAGCTTAAACAGGCGGCATTGTTTATCCGGATTAACTCGGTCTTAATCCGGATCAACTGCAGTTGATTCCCGAGTTTAACCGGATCAAAGCTGCCGTCTGTTTATGCTTTTAGACTCTTAGAAGGCAAATAGAGTAACAGAATTAACGGTTTTACCCAAAAAATCGAATAAGATATATACATATGATCGTCAAATTTTAGATGCTCTAGTCGTTTAAAATTACCAAACATAATCCAAAGTTAAAAAATTAAGAAATAGATAGTTATAGATTTACATACGTACATATATGTAATTCAAATAGCTTTTAAATCCGAATTGGAGGAAAAAACGAAAAAATCAAAGGAGCGCAATTTCTATGAAAAATTTTCAAACTTTTTGAGTAATTGCTGCTCTAAAGTAAGAGAAAGCAAACAAACATAATAAATGAAAAGGGAAAAAGTAAAAGTGTTACCTATTTTATCACCTGTTAAGGATGGGCGCTGTCGGGCCGCGATCAGAAGTAAATCATTTGCATTTACCAAACCACCGGCGGTGGGCATTATGTCCGCGCCCGGCTCGCCCGGTGGCAATGATGGATTTGTAAAATCGCGCGATTTGTCATTGTTGTACTTGACATTCAAAGCAGTCAATTTGCTGTTGTCGATGCGTAGAGTGCAACAGCCGTTGTAGATGTTCTGGCCGTCCAAAATGGTCTTGGCATGCTGGGCCGAATGAGCGTCCGGATACTGAATGAGTGCCTGCAATTGAAATGTTGGAGAGCGTGTTACATACATACACACATATATACGCATTGGCTAAGTGAATGAAGGGGTGGAGAAATGAATTCAAGAGCACAGCGTAAATGATTGAATAATGTACGCGTACAACAAGAATCTATATAAAATTGTGATGACAGCATTGATACATTTCCGCTTGATTTGATGAGCAAGCGAGCATGTACATACATGTTATACATATCCATACACGTATATGTATGGTGCTTTGCGTGTTTATATCTACTCTTATCAATTATGCGCGCTGTCGCACTGTGGTTGCTGTTTGTCATTCGACATAAAATGAACCGTGTTTATTTAATCATGCATACGTAATCGTACATATGTATGTGTACATGTTCATATGTATGGTACATATTTGCGCATATATTTTCATCTATTTATTTTACCTGGAATGAATTATTTTTTGTAAATGTGACAATTTTTAGCACTTTGCCAAAACGTTGGAAAATTTGATGTAAAATATCCAACGACACCGGATAGAGCAACGATTCGACAATGACGCGGAGTACAGTGTTGGGTCCGCCTGCAGTCGAATTAATATTGACTGCATTCGAGTTGTTCTGTAGTACTGCGATAGTGCCGTCAGCATTGGTAGTGGTGGCGGTGTTGCATAGCGGGAGCGGCGAGCCGGAGGCTGGCGACTGGATACGATAGTCGTTGGATACGACAGCAGTCTATAAAAGAACAGAAAAATAAAAAAATTATTTAATTTCAGAATTTAAAATTCATTCATGGATACGCGTAAATGCCTCGTAATTGCGTAAACTTCGTAAATAAACCGATTTTCTACAGAAAATTAAGTAAGTTTACGAGGTTTATATGGTTACGAGGCCTTTACGCGTTTAAGTGAATTGCTCTATTATACTTATTTTACAATTTAAAAACATTCAAATTTAATTATATAAATTTGAATTACTAGCAGAGCACCTATAAAAACAATATACCTTTGGCTGCGATTAACGCCACATTTATGTATGTAGCGTTGCTAATTTAGATGCAATCGAAGACACAAACAATTGATCCTTACATCAGCTGAGTTGAAAGAAATCATCCAGCTATCCCCAATTGAAGAAGTCTTATTTGTTAGGAATGTTTTTAACAATACGAATGCATTTACATAAATCATACAGTACGCTTTTATTTTTTATCAAAATCACCAAAAAAATTTTGCCAAATTCAATACGAAATTGCCCGGTTTTTTTTTCATGTGCAGATCTTTACATATTATCCTTAAACAATATAAAACCTATTTTAATAACTTACATGGACTCGCTTTAAATTGACCGCAATTAAGCAATTTGCTTAAAACTTTGAACCAATATTTATACACGAGTTGTGGTACTTTGTGATGAATCTGCTCACATATTTTTTTCCCCGTACCGAGCATTTGAAAAATGAATTTAAAGCATCGCCCCTATGAAGCTGCACAGTGTGCGCTGGAAGAACTTTTGTGCCAGTAAAACTACCGGCTTATTTATAATGGGCAACGCACATAATTTCTCTTAACTTTAAATTGAAATGAAATATCCTCCATTTGAAGACTTTATGGGCCACTTTCTAATATGGAATCAGAATAAGCCTGCATTGAGCTATGTCAAGGGGTGATCTACTCTACTTACAGGGCTCTTACACGATCAGCCTTATCATGAGTTTCATTTTCCCGAATCGGTTTACTTTTTACTTTTGGTTTCCATGTGTTCATTATGGGAGGATATTATATTTTCGGGTGAATTTTGTTTTTTTCGGCCGAAACTTAGGATAAGGCAGGATATGTATCTGCATGTGTAAATACGACTTTGTTGTATTTACTCGTATGTACCATATATTAATGTACATGTAAAACATGTAACACCGAATCGAAAAAGTTACCAAACTGAAAAAACTACCAAATTTTATAAATAAGTAACACAAGGTTGTTTAAAATTATCAAACCTGCGACGCTGATTTAAGAAAAAAGATGGTTGAGCTGATTTATAAGTGATATGTAGCGAATAATTTCATCAGCGTATAGCACTAAAAACTTAAGTGATGGGGCTATTTTATTTCACTACGACTAATTTAGTGGTAGTAAAGAAATTAACAATACACCTTAGAGTGCAAAATTTTAACTATCACTGCATATAAGCTGTCAGAATATTTTCACCATGACAGCGTTGCAACGAGTTGTAAAACTTAAAAAAAAAATCTAATTTTTTTGATATTTCTTACAACCAAGACACCACTTGCAACAACATCCTCAAGTTGAACCAAGGATCCGCAACGGTTAGCAATGTTCCAGTGGGCTAAAAAAAGTCTTTCACTATTCGAATGTTAATATTAGTGTAAAAATTGTATATGTCACTATCCCTATTGTAAAGTGATGCTGATATTTTGAAATTCACCACCAACATCAATAGAAGTAGTAGACAATTTGACTATCACAATCACTAGCTATTAGGGTACATTGAAATTTTAGTACCCCCACCTCCACCTCTGTCCACGACCAAATGAAATGTATGGCAAATGTGATTTTTAGAAAAAAAATTCAGATTTCATATTCTTTGTATAACACTGTAGGGGCGCTAGGATGACACAAAAAACGTCGAGACACGTAAACTTAATTTTGGAGCGTAGATTACGGATCTGTATGCCATCTTTCTAGAATAGGTAACCTTTCCACGATATCTTCATTTGAAGTTTGCATTGCGAGTGAAAAAAATGCAAAATTTACCATGGAAAATGTCACTCATACGCCATGTACGAGTATGTAAATATATGCGACTACGGCCGTGTGCGACATGGCGTATGAGCAACATTATTTCCTGCCCCTATTTCATACGAAAAATTGTTGCACATTTTCATTTGACCATCACAGCTTGTTTATTTATCAACCGATTTTCATCGTTAGTATCTTGACTTTTTTGCAAAAGAACAAATTTTTCCAAAAAATTTTACTTTGAATTTTTGCATGCTAAAATTTGAATTTTTTTTCAAACAATTGCACATATCTTGGGAAAATGAGCTGACCCAGAAAAACGGTATACATATCCGTAATCTACGGCGTTTTCTTGTGTCATTTCAAAACTTGCAATTTTTCTACGGTGAAATGGGTCACCCCGATTATGGGGAGTTATTATTAGTTTTGTTTAATTTTAGGGCCAGTATGTAGCTCTCGAGAAAACGGTAAATAAAAAATTGACATTATTTCTTGTGTGTGTCCTAGGAATTTTGACATCTGATACTTCACGGCCATTACAGCCTATTGCCTCACTCTTTCCTCAAGAAATAATGGAACGGGCATATATTCCTGTTGCAAACATGGGTTGCCTTGTGCTCTTTTTTAACAAAAAACTTAAGAAACCTGTAGTAGAAATCGTAGCAAATTTCTTAAGAACTGCGTACTACCGTATGGAAATTTGACTCAAGAAAATTTCCAAACCATTTCTTATACGTCATTTTATATCGAGTTTTTGCTTTTCTTGAGAGCTGGCCTGGGTTTGTATGGAAAATTCAAATCCAAAACCTAAGACGAATAGTAATGTAAAAAAGATAAAACTAAATACCATTTATAAATAAAGCTCCAATTTCTTTCATAATTAGTGGATTAACAAGCTGGTGTAACGCCGTAATGTCTTAAAGGCGTAATATGTTAAACTGCTTTTAAAAAATTCTCTGGATAAAATTGAGTTATTATTTAATTTCAGTCAGTATGAAAAGATTCTTGTGTAGTTAAAGTTCCACTGACAACAATTTATGACTTTCATACATTAAGACCAAGTGTGTGTGTAAAAATATTAAGTAAGATAAAAATATTCTAAACATTTATTTTTAATTTGTTGAACCAATGTTGGTTCGCAAGGGAATAATTGCTTTCATAAGAATCCCTTCACTATATCTATGGAATTTGTAAAATTTTTGGCATGAATATATTTGGTTTATAAAACGAGATTCCTACAGAGCTATTTACTATTATCATGCAAAAAAGGATACTCATAAATCTCAATCAGAATCAATAAATTCATATTTTTCGCACACAATTTTAGTACAGACATCGTTACTAAACAAAAAAATAGAGAAAAGAAAAATACACGAAATTGGGTAGCCAAATATAAAAGCCGCAAATAATATGTACAAACCTTCTTCGTCCGTATATCATCATACATCAAGTAAATACATATTTCAAAACGAAGATGCCAGCCACCTCTGTATACACATGCGTACTTACATATACTCGTATAAGCCACATTTATGTACGTATATATATATATGTACATATGTAGGTATTTGTAAATTTATTTCGTAATGGTATGTGCTTTTCACGAAAAGGAAATAAGATGATATCGGAAAACAATTTAATGACATTCGGAAGTGAATTTATTCCACGTCGTGCTGAATTTTGATTTAAAAATCACAGCACACGCGCGGATATATACATACAAATAAACTATTCGAGGACAAATGTAAGTTCTAAATATTAATCTATAGATGTTATTCCCCAAGTGTGTCATTGCCGACAGGTAACAGACGGACAATGTAAAATGGCACGCAGAAAAAGTACAGATGTTAAGGAATGTGAAATGGTACTGTACAATTGTACCTTGCAGAAAAAAATTATCAATTGATAAAAAATAACCTACTTGTAGTTGGATTTCTATAAAATATATAACTTGCAGTTAGCTACAAAAAGCTAACTTGAAACAAGTGGACAAGTAATGCAGGAGTAAAGCTCGAGATTGTTTTCTTTAAACGCGTTTCTATTTAAATATCCTGCACTTCGCAAATACTTTTTCGAAATGAGGACAAATAAAAGGAAGATTGAAATTTCATATTATCATTTTGAAGTTATGTCTGGCGGAGTTCGAATATGGGACCACCTACAGCAGAATATGGAAACAAATATGAAATGTAATATAATAAATAAAGTAAATAAAAAAAAAAAATAAAAAAAAATAAATAAATAAAAATATTTTGTTTTTTCTATTGATATTTTATGTCCAAAACTAGTTAGTTACAAGTAAGTTACATCAAATGCAGAAGTGACCACCCTTGACTACATCTAATGCAGAGGTAAACCACCCTTGACTATTTCGCGGCCATCGCCATAGAAACATAGTTAGTTTTCTTCAAATAAAATATACAGATATACTTTTAGCTCCTTCGTAATCAACTTAAAGTTAGCTTATAGTTAGATACATTTCCAGCAGGGTAAGTATAGATTTATGAATACGTACACACATGTACATATTTATATATGTATGTGTATTAGACCAAGTCAAATAAACAAAAAAATCCCGCAATGCAACCGGCATATTTCTCAAATTTTAGTATTTAGTATAGTTATGATCCTCCATGAATCTCCCCTCTCTACGACAATTGTAAGAGGTCCCGCGTCAAGCATTTAGTTTTCCCATAGGTATTACACGTAACAAAATGAGTTCTTTCCTTTTGAGGTACATACAATTTTCTGGGATCAATGAAAACGCTCGAAACTGTAAGAATACAGTAATGAAATGTCATTTAAGTGTTATGCATGCTCAGATTCCTTACATCTGAGGTGTAAAAAAAGGTGAAAATTAATATAATTAATTCAATTTAAATATAAATTACGAATTCAAAAATCAAGTTTTATTTGAGAAAAAACGTAAGTAACTAAATAAGTTAATTGTAAAAACAAATAGTTTTAAAGCAAGCTTTC